CGATGCCTGTTTACACGGGTGTGTTTGGAAACGCACGCATCTGCGAGAAGAGAGGGGCTACTTGGGACAGTTTGAACAGACTTGCGAAGTTACGTTTGACGGTCGAACATTTACTGCATGTAACTGATTTTTACCTGTTTTGTCTGTGTATTAAGTTGGCATTCATAAAAGAAGAAACAGTGAAGAGTAGGCCCTACGATCTCCTGAGATTTAACTTCGCATAATTTGGTAGAAATTCGCCGACGTTTCGGAGAAACAACGCTTCCACTACTTGCTTGTCGATTGCCTTACACTTCGACGCTGATTATGGAGCAGTGTATTCCTCCGAAACGTCGGCAAACGTCTACCAGATTGGGCGGTGTCATAACATGAAAGGCCATACCATTTAGTCAGCGCTATGAGAACTAGCTTACTTAGATTGAGGGTGTTCAGGAACAAGCTGCTGAGGGGAGTATTAATCAGAGACTGGAGAAAGTTACCTAATGGGGAGCTTTATCATTTGTACTCTTCGGCAGATTTTTTTTTTCAGTGGCTCTTTCAGCACATTCAGGGCCCAGGCCTCTTATTCAGTTCCGTAATCATTTTTCACAGACGATAACACCCTTGGATGAGTGATCAGCCCATCGCAAGGCCGCTACCTACACACAGAACAACACAAACCGAAGAAACCCACGTAGACATCCATGTCTTGATTGGGATTCAAACCCACAATCTCAGCTTCCGAGCGAGCGAAGACAGTTCATGCCTTAGACGCGCGTCTACCGTGACCGGCCACCACATATTATTAGGGTGAACATATCATGGAGGATGAGAAGCGAGGTATGTAGCACGCACGACAGCAAATAGAAATTTATACAACGTGTTGGCAGGAGAGATATCCCGTGGAAGATTTAGTCGTAGACGGGATAGTGTAATGGTATGTTGTCGGCTGGATTCATCTGGCTTTGAATATGGACCCCGTCGTGGGCCGTTGTGAATGCAGTAATACATATATGTCTTCGGATTTCTTGACTTTGTTAGCAACTATTCTAAAAAAGTGAGTCTGTTCCTTGGAGTAAATCGTGACAGGACACACGATTTGAGAGTTCTGATTCCTGTATATTTGTTAGCTGCAATGAATTGGGGTAGGAGAAGAGTGCTGACTCACCGACAGAGCTTGTTACTTTGCAGATGTTATGCATTATGGCGTCTGCTACTCATTCTTTGTTAATTATGTCCTTCAAATGAACTTGTTTATGAAATATACAGAAAACAGGACACGTACAGTATATTTGTATGTGTTAAGTGACAGTGGTAAGCATACGTAGAGGCGTCCGGGGAAGAATGACCATAGTTAAACAATGATTATTGTGAAAAACAGTGAAGTTATTGGATTGCTGTTTTTGCCACATGAATACAAGAAACGACGAAGTTTTATCTATGCTACGTGTTGCACCGAACGCACAAGGATGTGCGCATGCTCCAGGCTCTTAGACGGGGCGATATCGCGGGGCCAGCCTACACCCCTGAGAATGGAAGTCGACCAACGGAGGGCAGCGTTTAGGTGGTTGGAGGCAGAAAGAATATCAGATGTAGATGTTCAGCTTAAGTTCAGAAGTGGAGACATCCCTTCTCGTGAAAACATTCCGGGATGGGTGTAGTCTTGTAGAACAATCGCCAGCGTAAAAAGAGGGAAGGGCCCCGGACCACCATTAACGCCATCAGACCTCACAGCTTCCACTTGGCTGTACATAAGGCATGCTTTCGAAAGCTTGTCGGAAAGATAATGTACGAGGTAGTATTCAAACATCAGTAAAAAGTAAAGTTGTCTCTGTGCAATGAAGACGTATGGGCGAGTGGATGTATAGATCCACGTTTTCTTGACCTCGGCATTATTTGGAGGTGAGTGGTCAGCTTAACATCCCTACTGTTTTACCCCCGGAGAAAGAGTCCCCGGTACCCATTGGGTAGGAGGCTGGGTGGGCCCTAGAGCCGGCCTGGACGACATGGTGAAGTGAAAATGCTTGGTCCTACCGGGACGCGAACTCCGACCCCTTGGTCGTCCAGCCCGTAACCAGTTGCTATACCAACTGCGCTATAAGAAAAAGAAAACTCAGAAGATTGAACGAGTTGTTCCAAAACGTAACGTAAACCGAGCGAAGTCGAATTAAGCCTACGGACCTTCACGAAAATTACGTTTCCAGTGGAAAGTACAGGGATATTTTTAATGCTATTGACGTGTTGACGGCCCTGCGCTTCATCGCTACCGGCCCATTGCCGGCCGCGAAGCGCATGCGAATTTTGCCGATGACTCAGCGTGCTTGACGGCCGATAACGTATTAAATGAAGGAAAATAATTAACTTGTAGATGTCTGCACAGTATTATGTTACACGGCGGGCATATTGGTGCATGCATGTGGAGTTCTTTTGTGATTTGTCAGCATTATGCAGTAGTTAACAGCAGTATGGCACGCCTTGGTTCTCTATATTTTAGAGCAACGCGTATTTCTGTATGACACCTACGTGAAATGGGATCTGCTAGATATTGTCGACGTAAATTTCGTGGTGAAAGAGTTCCCAGCAGACAGACAATTCATAAATTTGGGAATAAACTTAGAACAACTGGACTCTTAAGCGCCGAGTGCTTACTGAGAAGAAGTTAGGTGACATAGGGGCCAGACTTAAACATACACCTAGAAAATCACTGAAACGTCTAGCTCAAGAGACTGGAGTGTCAAAGTCTAGTGCAAGAACGGCAAAACAATTGCTGAAGCCATCCAGTGAAAAGTTGGTGTCTGGTGCCCTGTAAGTGCAGGAAGAATCGCTGTACGCATTTCGCTTTTGGGGGGGTGGGGGTGAAGTCCAGCTGGGTCCACTCGGCACGGCGGCCACTGATTGGCCTATTGTACCTGCCCCGGGTGATTATGATGATGGAGAATTTGGTGGAATGGAGTTTGGCACGGGAAACCTAAGTACTCTGAGAAAACCCGCCCCAGCGCCACTGTTCACCACATATCCCACTTGACCAGACCAGGGTTTGAAACCGGGCCGCTGCGGTGGGAAGCCAGCTACTAACCGCTTGAGCTATGGCGTGGCCATATCGCTGTACGTATGTTTTTGAACGAAACAGTTAATTACGAAAGGTATTTACATGTGGGGGGGGGGACAGCGTTTTCAACACCTTCTGTGATATGTGAGCAAAGGTAAGAACTGCGCCCCATTCCACACATTATCGGCATGCTGAGTCATCAGAAAAATTCGCGGCCTGCGGTGCTCAGGTAGCGGCGAAGCGCAGAGACGTGAACTCGTCAGTTTTATTAGAAGCACTCTGTATAATTGAAGGTCATTGCTGACATGTTTATATAATGACATTCCGTCTTTAATTTCGAAGCTCGTTGCTTGAGCCCACTTTCAGTTAGGTCGTCTAATGCCAGATAGCTTCCCCAAAATCGTTGTGGAATCCCTTTCTCTCTGCAGTAGTTGCTTCGTCAGGTCATTTTCATAGCACTTCAGAGATTGGAAGAGCGTATTGAAATCGGTTTAAATCCCCGTGCTTCGTACAATGCTTTCATGCCCTAAGACACTAAATGGTTTTTAGGTGGAAAGACTAAGCTTGATTATTGGGTAGTGTTCGGAGGTTCAATTTTTTTGTGGCAGTCCATGCTGTACTTTTTATCTGGGCATCCAGTATTTGTCAGCCGGTCACGGTTGCCGAGCGGTCTAAGGCATGTACTGTCTTCGTTCGCTTGGAAACCGGGATCGTGGGTTCGAATCCCACTCAGGGCATGGATGTTTAGTTTCTTTGTGTGCGTTTTCCTGTGTTTGTGTAAAGGTAGAGGCATTTCGACGAGCTAATCACCTGCCCAAGGAGTCCCACCGAATGTGTAAGATCTAGAAAAACCGAAGTGAACGGTGATGTTCATGGAGGTAGGCCTAGGCCCACCGGGGCTGTAGTGCCAAGGAAAAACAAAATCAGTATTTGTCAGCCTACGAACTAAAATGGGGCACGCGGTAGCGTATTTGGTTGAGGCAGTATGTTGCAAGCCGGAAGGTCGCGGATTCGATTCCCGATAGATTTTTCAGTTGACCTAATCCTTCCAGCCGAACTGTGGCCCTGGGGTCGACTCAGTCTGTAACAGAAATGAGTACAGGAATGTTCCTGGGGTTAAAGGGCAACCGGCGTTTAAGGCTGACATTGTCACAGCCATCTGCAAGCTGATTGTCTAGAAAATGTGGGAGCCTCGACGTCTCGCAACCCTATGGGCCCCTACGGTCTGTTACAGTGGTAGCTTTACCTTTTACGGACTAAAATATTGATACTCGTATAAGAACTGAGGTTTTCACGGTGGTGACTATGAAGGAAGCAGTCTTCTGGGATTTGGCGCCATGTAGATAGTGTTAACCGACGTTTCAGAGGAACGTATCGCCTCCGTCTTCAGGGTTAGCACCTCACGCTGGTTCGTCGCTCGTGGATTTTCTTCTTTTTTCTTCTAACCTGAAGATGGAGGCGAAGTCTGTTAGCACCTGCTCACGCTGGGTCCTCACTCGCGGACTTTCTTCTCTTTTCTTCTACCCTGAAGATGGAGGCAGTACGTTCCTCCGAAACTTTGGTAAAATTTCGTCACAGTTCGCAACGTCACATCCAAGGATATAATAATTTTCACTTTAATAAATTTTACTTTGTAATCATAATAATTCTAAACTAATTAAAAAAATTGTGTGATGTAACTCACCTTTATTTCAATTACTGAGCTACTGTGTTGCTAAAGCATTAGTATGTATATATATTTGTGGGTACACACAAACACTCGTGTTTGTACCATTATGGGACGTTTTCTTTCAGCTATCCGATTAAGATAAATCTGTTTTCACTATTGAATTATTCCTTCTGTGTCTACTGTTGCATGTGCGTTTTGCATTCCAGGTCTTAGGGCAGTGAACTTGTTGATCGTTGCTTTTATCTTGATAGTGGCAGGGGCATCCTTCAATTTAGTAATGCACATACATTTTTCTTGTTGCAGACATTGCTGTTGTAACTACAGATGAAGTTGACTTCTTCAGTGAGGAAGGAAAAATCATAGATAGACTGAGAAAGCCAACTGCAAACCTCAGAGCACTGGAACTGGACCCTGTAAACCAGACGCTGTTCCTTACTGATGACACAGACAGTGCCTACAGCATATTCACTCTCAGTCTCGAAGGGAACCAGGATCTTAGGCCGTTCATCCAAAGTAGGTAATTTTTATAACTGGGAAAAGGAAGTCTTATGTTGTCTGATGTGACACTGGCCTACAAATCCACACACCATAGACACGGGCAGTTCCTCCCCACATATTTTTTTGGAAAAATCAAAATTGCTAAGTAAGTACGATGTGTCCCAAATATTACTACCAAAAACTCTTGAATACTGTTCATGGAACCACCAGTGTTTTAATATACAGATGCACTGTTATAGAGTAATATGTAAAAATATTCTAAAATATCTTAAGGGGGCAATCAAAATTGAAAGGTAAACAGGAAGTGTGCCAAATATTAACACTAAAGAATGTTGAATATATACATAGTTCATGGAACCAGCAGTGTTCCAGTATACAGATCCACAGCTCTGGGGTTGTCCATAAAAATATTCTTAAATGTTAAATTTCTAACCTCCCTGGTATAATCCCAGCAGTGCCCATGACAAGAGATGTCTCAGTTCAGCCTTATTACACTTGTGGGCAAACAAGAGAAGTTTCATACACTCACTTGTATGCATGCAACATCTTTCTCTCAATTTCTCCTCTCACCCATTCATAAACACACACAGGTGTCCCAGCATTCACCTGCCATTTTGAAAATTTCCAATGAATTTACACATACATCAAAATAGTCAGGAATGAAAGAGAAATGTTTGCCATTTATTATGAAACCAAGGTATCACCAAAATTGTAACAGCAAAACCACAGAAAGGTCACTTCTTGATTTTTTTTTAATTGTTTCATTTTGGTCCATTACACTATCAATCACAAATTGTCAATTGAAAAATCCGTCGAGTGCAACAATGTTTTTAGGTCACTTATTTATCTCACTTGCCTTACATGTTTCGGTTCAAGAGAAACCATCATCAGAGGCACGTATTACAAACACATGAAAACACTGGCGCTGCTTAACGTACACAGTATGTAAACTGCGTGGACGCTGTTACAGATGTCGAAGTGTAAAAGCACAACACTTTCTAGTAGCATTGAATGCACGTACAACTCTTGCATTCCATCTGAAAATTGCCCTCAAATTGAGCCGTCAATGTTAAAATATTTAAAAGTTTAAAACATTTAAAGTAAAATGTTCGGCTCCTCCTTGTTGATTCGTCCCGATGATGGGAAGCGTCAACTTGAGGTTGTGTATGCTTATTGTCGGATGTTTCTTACGCGTTGTGTGTTGTGTACTGTACTGTGTGTAGGGCAGTACACAACACACAACGCGTAAGAAACATCCNCAGCGTCCACGCAGTTTACATACTGTGTACGTTAAGCAGCGCCAGTGTTTTCATGTGTTTGTAATACGTGCCTCTGATGATGGTTTCTCTTGAACCGAAACATGTAAGGCAAGTGAGATAAATAAGTGACCTAAAAACATTGTTGCACTCGACGGATTTTTCAATTGACAATTTGTCACTTCTTGAAAATCACCTCACTGAGATGCCATCCATTCACGTTGATACACTCATGCACACTGTTGACCATTCTTTTCATTACTCATGAAAGTGTGTTCTCTGCTTCAGTGCGTTTAGGTCTGCTGGACGTGTTTTGAATATTTTACTCCTTAAGAAACACCACAGATAAGTCAAAGGATGACAGGTGCGATGATCGGGCTGTCCAATTAATGTCCTCAAAACGGGAAATTGTTTGGTGCTGAAGCACATTCCTTAACAGATTCATTGAGTGATGAGTGGTATGAGCTATGCCTCCATCTTGTTGGAAATAGAGTGTAGCAGGTTCTAGGCCTAGGTTTCATAATGCAGAGAACACAAAGTCACTCATACTGGTCAGATGTCACGGTTACCATATGTCTGTTTTCTTCCTCGGAAAAATAAGGACCGATGATACTGACAGTTGATATTCCACACCATACAGTAACCCTTTCACTGTGAAAATATTTCCCATGCAGACTTCTGGGGTTATTATCACTCCAGTATCACATGTTTTGTCTATTGACAGAGCCAGATAATTCAAAATGTGCCTCATTCAGTCCTCAAATCACACCCGATTACTCTTCATTGAAGGCAAGGAATTTCCCACAGAAAGCTTTTCTGGTAGCAAAATCTTGGTCGGACAACTCCTGCACCACTTGGATTTTGTAAGGGTGTTGACTGAGGTGTGAATGCAAAATCGGACACACTGAACTCTTTGATAGGTGAAGTGCCGCAGCTTGCTTGCGAACTGAATGTCTGGAACTCCGAGCAGTAGCAACTCAGACATGATTGACATTCTCTGGTGTTTGCACACTTTCTGTGCTGCCTCCTGGTTTCTTATCCATCGCAGAAGCTGTAGTCCGAAACTCATGTACCCAGTTCGTACTGATGTGCCTATCAGAAACTTTCCCGTGGCATCTAAATTGGGTGATTTGTAATAATATTGCACTTTATTTAGTTTCATAACAAATGGCAAACATTTCTCTTTCATTTCTGACTATTTTTATGTAAATTCATTGGTAAGTAAATATGCAGTGAAATTTTGAAAATAGTAGGTGAATTATGTAACACCTTGTGTCACATATGTGCTTATGTTCAACGATTGGCACTATTCACATGACGATGGGAGTGCAGCATCTGCATACATGAATAGTATTTGTGGGCAACATTACTTACACTCTGTGGGTAGCACACACTGACATTAGTAACTGTTAGATGCTCTGTGGATAATGCACACTGACATTAGTAACTGTTAGAAATATGTATTTTAATTTACATGGCTTTCATTGTGAACTTTTGAACAAAGACACTGGCAAGCAGTGACAAGAACTAAACGTGGCATACTACTGATCTCTGCGTTTTTTGTGGTACATGTAAGTACCAGTAGTCACATGTGCATTCATCCCCACCTTTCAACTTTTAAATCAATTTTCATGAAATTTGGTGTGTATATATATATATATATGCTGTTGCATACCACCAGAGAAGAGCACTGCTTATGTGCAAATAAACAAGTATGTATATACACCAAATCTCACAATGGAGCCAATTCAGTTATTGAATGTTCACTGGTGGTTAGATTTGCAAGGATCTTTCCTGTCATGAGTACAGACTGAAAAATTACTAAAACTTTATCAATGTAATAGAAGAATTGCAGGTATGCTTAGAGTAACTGAAGGGTCCAGTGCAAAAATGGTATGGCTCTGTTCATGTAAGACCACACCACAGTGTGGCTCCATTTTCACTGATAAATTGGGCACATTTGTTTTGTTTTCTTTGTTTGTTTGTGCAACAGCATAAAATTAAGTTTCTGCCAGAGTCCTGCACTGGACCCTGCAATCATAGTTGTATTTTAGTTCATATGATGTAAAATTAATTTGAAGTAATATGAAGGTGGATCTTAGAGATAGGATGGGGTGGTATGGATTGGATTCATCTGGCTCAGGATTGGGTACAGTGGAGGGCTCTTTGAACACAGTAATGAACTTTTGGGCTCCATAATATGTTGGGATATTTTTGAGTAGCTGAGCAATTGGAAGCTTCTCAAGATGGACTCTGCACCATGTAGTTGATACGTTCTTTAGTTAGTTAGATGTATGTTGGGTGGATGGGTCGGTTGGTACATACATAGGTAGGTAGGTAAGTATTTGGGCATTAATTTTGTGTAAGTGTTTTACTCAGTGAAGCAAATTGATATTTTCATAAGTGATAAGTGAAGGGGCCAGTTTCATTATCATTTCATTAGCTTTAAGTGTGGAGATCACCTTGCACTCTGATGTGTGAAGATGTGTTAGTGTGCAAATGAGATGTAAAATGAATTATGAAGTGATTGCAATGTAAGCTCTTATTCACTACATCAATATCATACATCACTCAGCAACACTCATGTTTGAAAGTCGTATTGTATGACCATGACTTGAAGTGAAGAACTTTATGCATTAGAAGGACAGGTTAATTTTGCAAAGTCTCAGGGTGAACATATTTTTGATGCAAATTGTAGTTTCATGTCGGGAACCCAATCATAAATGCATGGTACATGTTCTCCTTAGCAACAATACATTAAAATCATATGCTGAATTTCTTAAAAAGATTTGTATGAAAGGAGAAAGATGGTCAGGTATTATTGAATATGAATTCAAGAAAATAAGGCAAAGAAACTGGGAACAAGGAAGTACATCAGGCAGAAATTTAGCACACAAAATAGGAACCTCATACATTCCCACAAGTCTCAGGAAGATTTCAGATACCTCCACATTTATAAACTATGAAGTGATGCATGTTGTGTTGCTGATAATGTAACATTTCAGTATACAGTTTTATCATATGATATTTTAAACATGTGTATTGAATTGTTAGAATTCCATGAATAAGCAAGCAGTTAAAGTGGTAAATATGGATATGGAAAAACAAATTCAGCTAGAAGGTTGATAGTTTTTCTTAGATTTTATATCACACACTATTTAATGATGGAATTCCTACTCATAGGGGCATGTGGTAGCATAGTTGGTTGAGGCACTGTGCTACAAGCCGGAAGGTCCCTAATGAGGTCCATTTTTCATTTGACCTAATCCTTCCAGCCGCACTATGGCCCTGGGGTTGACTCAGCCTCTAACAGAAATGAGTACCAGGAATCTTCTTGGGGGGGGGAGGTAAAGGACAGCCAATGTGTAAGGCTGACAACCTTACCACCATCTGTGAGCTGATTGTCTACAGAAAATATGGGAGACACAACGTCTCACAACCCTATGGGCCTTCACATCCTGTTACAGGAATAGCTTTTACCTTTACCTCTTATTTCTAGTCATAACTTTTTTCTTTGTCAAGAAAGGTAATCGTTATTTCTGGCTTAGTTTATGTGCTTCTACATTCATGTGTAAATTAAGGTAAAGAGTGTGAATTGTGTCATTCAATGTCTGCATGTGTTCCTACAAAGTTTTGTTTGTACATACACATACATGAACTGTTAAAGTAATATCCTCATCTAACTATGAAGAAGTACTGGGGCTGATATTTGAAATAAGTTCACAGATCTGTGGATTTGTATTGTGTATTCATCACTTTGCTTGAAGATAGGTTCTGTTTGTGTAGAACAGTCATCACAGTTCATGATTCTTATGATTCATCTTAGCAATGCTGTACTAGCAGTTACTGACTTCCATTTGCACCATAATTGTTATATTTTCTCATTTTTCACATTTACAGTTTGTAGGCATTCTTTGAAAAGTAAATAAAGAATAGTGCCTTATCTGGACATCATGTCTGTCCATCTGTGTGACCTCAGACAGATTTTCTTAAAATTTGATATAAGAGATGTAGAAAATTTGCTAGGCAACTCTGATTTTCAGGCATATTGATCCATGAGAAAGCCTGGTTTACATGAGGTCATAAATGGTCTTTTTTTCATGAAGCTTGGCGTCATCTAAGATATAATACCATGTAGTCTGATATAAGTGTATTGACATTTGACAGAAATCTGATGCCTTCCATTTTCAAGGTCAAACAGCCATGCAAGCTTTGCTTCTTCTTGGCTACTAGCTTGGATCATTCTTTAATCCTGAAGATGGAAGTAATATGTGTCCAAAATAATTACAGACTTTACCGTGCTACACCCTGTTAAGATTCCATAGTCCATGGTCAGTACTGTAAGATTTTCATGTTCAATGAGCTTCGTCATGTATATGTCATAATCTGTTTGCACGTGTTGACATTTATATGACAGACCACCGGAAGTTTTCAGGCATTTCTCATTTCTAACTGCAGTGATCCATAATAAAGTCTGATTTACATATGTCCATTAAGTAGACTTTTCAAGTATCTCATAAGTCTCAGATTTTGCTGAAATTTGATATGATGGACTTTCACTAATTCACATTCTGTTGTTCCTCTTTTTAAATAAGCTTAATGAAATAAAGCCTGAAGTGATCTGAATTTCAGGAGGTAATTCACTGCTAAACAGAATCACTCTCAGAGCAGTCAGACAGCAAAATGAATGCATAAGCTCACATGAGGTTTTTCTGCCCTTTGTAAGGTTTCAGACAAGTACTATTTGTCAGAAATGTGCATAACACGTCAAATAGGCAACCTTAAAGATGGAAAATCCTTCCTGGTGCTCCCAGTAGTTATTGTTATACACTTTAGTACCAACCAGCATGAAGTTAGTAATGTTTTTTAACTGTAAATATTATTGGTACTTATGTTAATATGCCATCTGAGATGTTTTATGCAAAGTATAACATAAACTTTGTGGATTGCATCCTGTTGTGTATGCAGTAGTTACGTGAATCTTTAAGTTGTATTTGCTAATAACCACAGGTGCAAAAAATTGCATAATATGAATCCATATTGATTGATTGATCAGTAACTGTCAGATGACAGGTCCACAGTCTCTTCCAAAACAGTTCCTCCACTTAATGTGATCTTCTGTTTTTGGAAAGAGACTATCCAGGAAAAGTGATAATGTGGTAGTTTTTCCATTTGCTTTCCACATCGCAGTACAACAGCCGTTCAAACCACTCTGGTCACGCCTGTTGTTATACGAACTTGAACCATCTCGAGCATCATTTGTTCTGTGCTTCAAGTCGCTGCTGATGACGCTGCTTCCGGCATCAGTTTTTGGTTTTTGGTGTCTCTCTTCGTCTGATGCCTACCCTTTGACCTGTCCAGCAAGGGAGGCCCTGCCAGTAGCTACGCTACCGCTGGTATAGCTCTCAGGGTCCTTGGCATACTCAAACCCCCTCACCACGATAAGGTGGAGACACCAACGAGGGGGAAATCCATATTAGGGCAGCTAAATTCAAGTAACTTAGTTTGTGTTTCGTGGAATTTGCCTGGTGATGACCTAAGTAAAGATCGGAACATGCAGCATATACCTGCTTACAATAAATGAGTAAGAGGTATCACAACATCCATTTTGTCTCCACCTTGAACATATCATTCTTTATGTTGTGTTGGCTGTCCAGTTCCTGTAACTATAGAGTATAACATTTTATGTTTTGCCAATGCCTCATCAGGTTTATACAGGGTGTTAGAAAAGGGGGTTTACAAGGGGTATTGTACTCACTTAAATGAGCAAAAACGTCCCACTCAACATATGTCCAGAACTCAGTGCCTCTTGAGATATGGATGAGTTTTACATTTGGCTGGATGCTAGGACAGCACAGCAGTATGCATTAAGTGAAGCAGCAAAGGACGCAGATTTGCTCAGTCACAGGTGAAATTGGGTGAATAATCTGTGGGATGGGATTTTGCATTGTGGATGATGTTCTGCGTACAGGTGATGTGCTCCATGGGCAGAAACACACATGAAATGCGTCTCTGCCATTTCCAGACCTGACCAGTAAGATTTCATTACAGAGCGACTAAACAGATTTCAAATTGAAAGAGCAACGCTACACCAACTGTCTACCGCATTTTCCATAGTAGTACACAAGTAATGCTTCTACAGAGGCATAAGCGAAAGGTAAACAAACAGACGTACATATCATGCAATGAACCTTCTCTTAGTGCATACTTCTGTATATTTTAAACATGTGTATTGAATTGTTAGAATTCCATGAATAAGCAAGCAGTTAAAGTGGTAAATATGGATATGGAAAAACAAATTCAGCTAGAAGGATAATAGTTTTTCTTAGATGTGTCCTTGTATCCAGTCAAATGTAAAAGTCGCCCATATCTCAGCAGGCACTGAGTTCTGGACGTGTGTTGACTGGGGCTTTTTTGTTTTGTTTAAGTGAGTACTAGACCCCCCTGAAGCCTGTATGTAAATGTTCCGAAAGTTAGTGAGACAAATCCAACAAAATGACAAAATGCAGTGTTTTAAATTTTTGGTTTATGTGGCTGGTTAGTGTAGTAATCTATACAGTGCATATTTTCTGTAATTTTATAGGAGCTGACAATTATACGATACAAGATATTGCATATGATACGGTTTCTGGTGCATTGTACTGGACTGGTGAGACAGCCATATATTGGTATACAAGTACAATGAAGAACAGAATGGGAGATGTTATCCATAACCTTAGTGACAATGAATTTCCACATGGAATAACTGTAGCGAGTTGCAGGAGGTAAGCCCTGCATTGCACTATATTGTGCCATGTGAACAAGGACTGTTATATCTGTTCAAAATTATTGTTCATACACCATACTTTAGTAAGATCATTGTGACGATGGTAGATTAATACATCATACTGTAATTGACTTTCTGAACAATATCTTTCATCCCGCTCTTTTATTTTTATTTCATTTCATTTTTTTTAATAACGTTTTGGAGACTGAGCTCCGTCTCCATTCTCAGATGAGAGCATACTCGGTTGTGCCCAATTGATAGAGCTAGTCCCTGTCTCTATAGACAGGAAATAGCTCTGCTGATTTGGCCAAACTGAATATACCTGTTACATGAGGGTGGAGATAGTTCAGACTACAAAACTTTCTCTCAGATAAAAAAAAGACACTGTTAACGGTTGTACCATACATTAAGTATCAGAGTCTGCAGAGGTGTCAGCTGTAAGTTTTCTCAACTTTTGCATTCAATTCTCCACATAAGGGCTGAGGCTAAGTTGATAATTGGGCTCACATACAGCAGTCATGTATAAATAATTACTGGGACAATAAAGGAGAACATTTTTAAAAAACTGTTATGCCACTCTGCTCTCTTTTTACCTTATTGAGAACTTTTGTGCTGATCTCAGTGGCCGTGCGGTCAAAGGCATGATCTGTCTCTGCTTGCTTGGGTTTGAATCCCACTCAAGACATTTATGTCTGTGTGTGGTGTGTCCTGTGTGTAGGTAGCGGCCTTGCGATGGGCTGGTCACTCGTCCAAGGAGTCCTACCGACTGTGTAATAAAGAATACGAAAATGAAGAAGAGACCATTATTAATGAATGAATGAGTGAGAGCTTCAGCAGCTCAGTTGGTAATGTGACTGGGAACCTGGGCTTCAGTTCCTAGCAGGGAAAGGGTTTGCAGAGAGATGCAGTAGTTTAGCATGTAACCTCCACTTTCATACATTTTTATTCCATGATGCTTAAGTGCAGTCACATGAGGAATTACTACAGTATCTGACATGCACTGAAGTCTTTGTTGGTTTGTCAGATGTGGCAATGTGGAGTTTGTACCCAGCTTTTTGGAGACTGTCACCAATTCCATCATCAGGGCTTGTCATGTTTGCGCACACCATTTATATTACACAGTATGCTCCTGGCTTGCCTAGAACATACCAGTGAGGGGACAGTGAACAGAGTCAGATGGTCACTGGTGTCCTCTGTCAGTATGACCATGGGGGAACTGTACTGAGTCAGGTGGTCATTGGTGTCCTCTGTCAGTACAAACCATAGATGAACAGCGAGTGGCGCCAGGCAGTCATTATTGTCCATGTTGCTTGCTATTGGCCTTTCCTCAACAATGTTTTTCCATGACTGTTCCTGTCTAGCCTTGAAGATGGAATTGGTACAGTCCTCTGAAATGTCACTGTATTTGTACAGAGCTACGCAGTGTTACAGCCTGGGCATTCATAGTCCCTGCTTTGGGAACCTCACTTCAAACATGATTGCCAATGTTAATTTGTAAAATATAAAAACTCGATACATTCTTGCATTGTGGCAGGTACCTTTACTGGACAAACAGTTATCATCTCCGTCCAACAATTGAACGATCCTTATTAGATGGTACTAAAAGGGAAGTTTTAGTAAGTAAGGACCTTTTCCAACCTATGGGCATTGCTGTGGATGAATTAGAAGGCAAGATGTACTGGAGTGATGAAAAATCCGGCATCTATTATGACATAAAGCGAGCAAACCTTGATGGAAGTAATGTTGAGACCATTATATGTGGTACATACCATGTGCCAGCCTACCTGACTCTTCATTTACATGATATCTATTGGTCTGATTCGGTACACAACGCTGTTTGGAAAATTCCCAAAGAGCCCACTGAAGGTGTACAGCCTACAAAGATATACAGATGTGAAAATCGCAGGTAAGATAGTACTGTTTTACTTTTAATGATTACATATTTCTCACTTGAGAAATTAATCTTATATTTTGTTTCATTATTTTTTAATAGAAATTCTTTCTGTGATGAAAATATCAATTGTCCATATTATTCTCTGAAAATATAAGTTTCATTAAGTTTCCATTGCCCTGAAATGAATTATTACTTCAATTAGTTAAAACTTCAACTTCTAAAAATATGTTTATATGAGGAGTCAGTAAATAGGTCACAGATGGATATGTAATGTAAAAAGGTGATATTCGAACCTGGAAAGAATTTATTTCTTGACGTATCCTCCGCCAGCATTGATGATACTTGTCCTATCGCTTTACCAGTGTGTCAAAACCTGCAGCATAGTAATCTTTTGACTGTTGCCTCAGCCACTTTTGCACCTCGGTTTCAACCTCTTTGTCATCGGTGAAACATTTGCACCAAAGTGGTTTAGAGGACCAAACAGATGGAAGTTACTAGGGGCCAAGTTCGGGCTGTAAGACAGATGTTCAAGAAATTCCCACTGTAGTTGCTGAATTCTCTCCTGGGTTGTTTGGGCTGTATGGGGTCTGGCATTGTCATGATGAAGCAGTGCCCCTCTTGCCAGTTGGCCTGGACATTTTCTGTGTGCATCCCGAAGCTTGAACAGAACTTCACAGTACGCTACAGAATTCACATTTTCACCACACTTCTGAAAATGGTAGTCTCTGAAAATCTGTCGTTGCTCCTGTCACAATCTCAACAGGGAAACTTGATCAGGTACCATCTGCAAGTTCCAGACGTCCTGGAGATAATTTCTTGATCCAGTTGTGAACCACTTTATGTGACAGACACTTTCCACCATAAATAGGAAATATTGCTGTATGAATGTCCTTTACATGAGCTCTTTTGTCCACAAAGAAATGCACAACAGAACGCAGCTGTATGGTAGAAACTCCTCAAGCACTATCGCCATTTTGACTACTGAAACCGGCCTCTGAACATGTGCATGTACGTATGTTATGTAGACTGTCATGAAGCTGGACTGTTCTGCTATCTGTTGATAGACATAGAAAATCTATTACATCCATCACAGCTGTTTTTATTCCATTTGTGACCTGTTTACTGAATGTCCCATGTACATAATATTGTGACATATCTAACCATTGCTGGGCAACGGGAGGTGGAATGAGTTACCACGAAGACAGACCCTTCGTAAAAAGTCGGTTGCCAAGTTACTCAACAGTGGAAACAAGGTTATGCAACAGTAAGGAAAGCGGTGTTTCTCAATGCTGTGCTGAGTAGAGCCAAAGTGAGCCGAGCCGAAGCGCGCTGGTTGCTATGCAGCAACAAACAACTCTGCAGCGTTCCCCAGCAGTGCCTGTAAACACAGCGTCACGCAACAGGGGAGCCCGTGCAATGCCTGTTGCTAGGCAGTCGGTAAACACGACATTACGCAACAGTGGTACCTATCACATAACTGTTTTCTGTGTTGTCCGTGCCGAGCCTAAGCAAGGAGCAGTGAACACTATTCAGCAGTGAGTTACTAGAGAGAGAGTAACCAGTGAATTGCAATCTAGCAGTCGCCGAGTTGGGTTGTATCGAGTGCATGGCAGTGACTCCAGCAGGAGAAGTAAATGTTCAATAAATTCGCTAGAACCAAGACGGTGTGAAGTTATTTGTCGCATTATATATCCAACATATGACAATATTATCACATTAGAAACAAGGAAGCAGGATAACTCAGTTGGTATATTGCCAGGCTCTGGGCTGGATGGGCAGGGTTGAATTCCCCCCCAAGGGCAAGACATTTTTCTCTACTCCATAGTCTCCAGACTGGCTCTGGGGCCCACCCAGCATCATATCCATGGGCACCAGGGGCTCTTCCCTGGGCATAAAGTGGCTGGGGCATGAAGCTGACCACTCACCTCCATCTTGTCCCAAGGTCAAGATCAGTGGAGCTTTACCTCTTCTCATTCACACATCTTTATGGTGTGGTTCTTAATTAATTAAGCACAGGGACAAAGCACAATAGATCATTGAAGGTCGCAGTGCTAGGGCCAGTTTTATGGCTCACCCCTCATACTCATACTCAAGCACAGGGACAACTTCACCTTTTACTGTAAACAAGAATTCTGTTATTTAAGTTTTGAAGTGGTGGGTGTTCATGATGTGGTCTTTTGGATTGTGACACAGGAAAGTTTTGTAGATATCAACATTTAGAAGAACTAAACTATTCTAGTCTCCAATGTAGACTCAGACTGGGGTGTATCTCCTCTCCATTCTTTGTGGATCTTAGTGACCACATTCCTTGTAACGTGCTTATACACATAACATGAGTGCATCCTCACACCAACCACTTTGATCCTGAAGGTAAGGGCAGTAACTTCCTCTGTAATGTTGGTATTCATGTCCAATTCATGTCCAATACAGCACATTGATCAGGAGACCACAATTTGGTGAATTCTGATTTCTTTAATCAGTTGCTTTCAGCTTTCTGTTCTCTCTATAAAACATATGATTCTTACTTTCCAGGGCACTGCATGGAATTATCGCTTGGTCTGATGGCAGACGAGTAGATTGCCAGTCAGAAAGAACGTCAACAATTGCGGCAGATATTCGAAACTCGAGTGAAAGTTTTAACAGTAATGAGCCCATTAGATTTGTAATACCTGAGTCATCAGTGACAGAAACTTCAGTGAGCTCAGATTATTGCCTTCATTCTGGTATGCTATCTACAGAAAAGGGGAGTAGCATAAAATGCCAGTGTCCTCAGGGGTATGGTGGGGACCGCTGTGAAGTGTCAGCATGTGACAATTATTGCTTAAATGATGGAAAATGTAAAATAAATTACAGTGGCTTACCAGTTTGTGTTTGTGTACGTGGTACAAATGGATCACGATGTGAACAGCATGTATGTGACAATTATTGCCTGAATGGTGCTGCGTGTGAAGTGAACAGTGTGGGACAACCTGCCTGTAAATGCAAAGGTCATTTCAGTGGCATTCGTTGTGAGATACCACATTCAGAGCATTCATGTCGGTCATATTGCCAGCAGTTTGGTCAGTTTTACTTTCCTATAGATGGACAAGATACGCCTGTGTGTATGTAAGTGTAATTTTTTAAATTAACGAAGTTCACACACTCTTCAGTTTGTACATTTTATTTAGTTTTGTAAGTTCATTAGGCATGCATACATGCACATACACAACTTCCCTGCCTCTCAGTGCACAGTGACAGACCACCTGGAAGTCATTGGTATAGATGGAAGTAAAGTTATTCCTGTGCATAAAAAAATAAGCATCTCACCATGACATCGGGGGGGGGGGGGAGGCATAGCTCCACCATTCTTAATTGTGGCCGTGGATGGAAGTGAGTGGGCAGCTTCACACCTGTGCTGCATTACCCTCAGGGAAGGAATCCCCCAGTACCCCTAATACAGGAGGCTGGGTCAGGCTGCAGAGAAAAGGAAATTATATTTCCCCTGTTGGGGATTTAACACTGATTCCATGGTTGTCCAGCCTGTGACCTAGCTACTGTATTTACCAGGTTGTATGGGCTCTGGTATAGATGGGAGGATTGCATAAGGGAACCGGCTTTCAGATTGTGGACCACACTTATCTGAAATAGACTTAAAAGGATTCTGATGATGGTGTATGCTGTACAGAACTATAAGGCTTATTTTGGACTTATCCATCATCTGGTATATATAAGACAAAAAAACCACAACGTTTTGGAGACACTTTGTGGTTTTTTGTCATATATATACCAGATGATGGATAAAGTCCAAAATAAGCCTTATAGCTCTGAACACATTAATCTGGTTCAGGATCAGTGGGGGGGTGATAAATCTGTCCCTGTAACAGGCTGTGGAGGCCCATACAGTTATGAGATGTTGAGGATCGCACATTTTTCTAGACAGTTGGCTCATAGATGGCGGTGAGGTTGTCGGTCTTGAGCGCTAGCTGGCTGCTCCCTAGCCCCAGGAATATTCCTGGTACTCATTTCTGTTAGAGGCTGAGTTGACCCCCAGGGTCATAGTGTGGCTAAAAGGATTAGGTCAACTGAATAATCCAATGAACTCATCAGTGAGTATTGTAATAAGAGGTCTGAAATGTTTTGCGTACCCGAGTGCAACTTGCTTCTTAAGAGAGGGCTATGCTCCATGTAGCCAGTGGATCTTCATTGTTGCTCTTGCTGCCATGTGCTAGCACATCGTCAGTGTGAAAACCTCAACAGTGACAACATCCATACCGTAACAAATAATGAACTGCTCACATCAGCTCTTATAATCCTCCAGAGCAGTTGCATACAAAACACAGAGATTATAAGTCTCACATACGTGTGTATCTACATCTGTGATAATACTACTGATCCCTACAGCACAGAGGTAACTATCAAAATATGGAACAATCAAAGCTGCTTCCTGTTGTGTGTATAATATCTTATGGTTATGACCAGGGCCCGGATTTTGATGACCTAAAAATATCTGAAAAATGATCTATAAAATGACCAAAAAATATTTAAGAAATGACCTAAAAACTAATTTCTAAATTTTCTTAAAATCAGGTTGATGCAGACTGTGTAAATTAGTTTCCAATTTCTTGATTTTATGACAGCTGGACATCTCTTTAAACCTACCCCTCTGCATTTCTGAGGCATCAATTTTATGAGTTTATGACATAGCGGTGGCTTAGAAAGTGGGGCGGGACAGTAACGGCATCTCTGGCGGCTTAGAAAGAAAAATAATGTGCCCTCTCACAAACAAATTATTATATTTAGCGACAGAGGCTAGAGATACAAAACAAAATTTACTTGAAGAACATAGATTTCTATCTCACGAATCAAATATCTTCAGTTTGATCAATGAATGTCAATTATTAAAAAACGTGAACGATAACCAAAATTGATGTAAAACGTGAAAAAATGATGAAAAATGACGTAAAACTTGTAAAAACACCTAAAACTTAAAACATACAAAATATGACAAAAATGCACAATAAAATTCACATTTTTATAACCAGAGGTTCATAATCGGGGCTTTAGTACTTAAAAGCAACGTTTACTACATAAAGAAAAAAAGATGACATCATCAAAATCCGGGCCCTGCAAATAACACTGTTGGTAAACCGGTTCATGCTGAAGGAGCGGTATCTCCTTCCACTGGAGACTTTACCGGTTTTCCAGAGTAACACGCTTCCACAG